AAACATTCCAATGTTGTCATGGTCTACGAATTGAGAAAAAAAAGAAATTCATGCATTTCTTCTTGTATTGTAAATGTTAGACAATTTCATATGCATTATATAAAAGAAACTGCCATATCAATTTTAATGTATAGATTTTTGCAAATACTACCCTATGTATGTAAGACGTAACTGTATCGGTAGCGTATATATAATATATTTATGCCCAATAAATGTTTTGATTTTTTTCTGACTTTGACTTTTTTATGTTTTATTACAACTTTTCCACATACACACGATTTGACATAGTTGATAGTTTGATACCAGCTCTGATCTTCCTTCAAGCAACACTGCATTAAGAAGACATCCCACTGAGAATAGACGGCTATTTGACGTCTAGTTATTTTTTAGACCTAATTTCAACCGTCTAGATTCTGTATATCTGTAGACAGAATTTAGACGTTGCACTTTGAGCAATATACTAGTAGACCTCTGTTAGCTGGCTAGTCTAAACTCTGTCTAAATTTAGAAGTCTGAAAACTTTCATTTTTAGACCTGTGTTAGCCTGATTCTAGACCAGTCATCTAGACTACATTTAGACGTCTATTAGACCTCTTTTAGACCAAAAAATGCTCAGTGGGATGTGACTCTGTAGTGGAAATCCCCACATGCAGTCCGACTCCCTTCCAGATTACATTTCCCCATCTTAAACTCTGTCATATAAAATATCATTTCAGCCAGGCTATAGTGCAAAATGTAGCCACAGCCGACACCAGTATACAAACTGTTTCTCTGATATATCCCCTGTTGTGTTGCAGTATTGATTTAATCCGTCAAGATTGAATAACAGACTGACGGGTATCCTCATTACCTAATCAGATACTGCTTTAATGCAATGCTGTAAACATCCCTGCATAACAATCAATATTTATGATATGAGGTTTTAAAATTGTGATGAATCATTTTAATTATGCTTTCAACTAATGCTTCAAGATGCCAATATTGGTAATGTCAGAGTCCTGTTTACGTGATTGTGGAGTTTTATCCTTGTCAGCTGAGGTTCCAATAACGTAGAGTGAGTGAGTCTAAGTCTTTGTTTATTCTCTCTTAAGATTTTTGATGCTTCTTTTTCACTTTACCCATGCTGTGCCACAACATGAACTAAGAGGTATTAATATTTAACCTTTTGTGTACATGTTTTACCGTGCACGTTTTGTGTAAAGTGCTGCAGAAATTGAACAACTAAGCAAGCACTTGGATGGTCCATTATGCCTCCCTTATCTATTTTTAATAAAGCTTTAGTGCTGCAATAATGAAATGGACCCCAGTGTTTGGGACATACACTGTGAGCACTGTGGGTAAACAATAACTGGCTCCTGTCCTTCAGACACTAACATGCGGTGTTCAAAAAAAAAAGGCTCAAAGCATTTTATTTGTGTTCATAGCACATGTAATACAGCAGAAATACAGGCGAATTCGCCAACAACATTATATTGGATTAAACTAAATATTTAGAATAACATCTGCCTCACTGTTGCTGTTTGTGTTAAGTCCACTGGCAGAAACACAGCCCCACACAGCTGCCAGTGTTAGCTCCTAATTGAAATGGATGCCTCCTGCAGGACATTGTGCTTCTGTCAGAGGGAGGCTCTAGAAATATCACTTTAATAAGAGTCCTGATCTGACCCCAGCAGAGCACCTCTGGCAATCCGTATCATCACAGACTCAACAGGAAAAGCATCAATATCACATCTTCACAAACAGAATCTTTGTGGAACATTTCTAGGACTTGGATAAATCCACAAACCAGATGCACTCACATTTCACAGGAATACTGTGTATGTGCATACTTCTGTTTGAACACTGTCCAAGTTGTATACCAGATAAAGAGACAGCTGAATGTACAGGCCAGTGGAAAGATAGATGTTAACTTTTCACCCACACCATCCCCTGCCTCCTTATCCAGAGGTAATTTATTCTCTCTCCTCTGCACAGCCCACATCCAAATCAACTATCATTATGTCTGACTCATTAATCAAACCGCTTTTCTCACCTTTTGTTTTGTTTTCTATTTTAACTGCACATTATAATCACAAATGACCTCTTATCCTCGTCCGCGTTGTTTCACACCTCTTCTTCTCCTCACCTAACGTCCACCCACAAACCATCTTCTCTGAGATACCAGCCCAGCTTTTATTAGATAAATTCACTTCCTGGTAGATCACACACCTACTGTCCTCAATTTTGTCCTGCTGAGTCTTTTGATCCAGTACCTCAGGTGATAGGCTGAAGCTGTGCCCACTGGCAGCACAAACACAAGGCGAGCCATGATGAGAGCAAACACACTGCTGTGTGTCCAAGTTTGAAGAGCTCCCTGCTGAGATACACGTTATGTAACACAGGGTGCCAGGGTCACATCGGAAGAGTTAACAGGCCCTGTCGGTGCCCCTGCTAAGTGAATTTTGAGTGCTGTGTGGACCTTACCTGAGAAATATTCAAGGGTTGTACTCATGCCGTGATAGTTTCATGTACTTTAAGGCCTGCATCAAGAAAAAAAAATGCAGTTTATGTTTGAGTTTTGCCTCTGTTTGAATAACACCATAGATGGAATAAACATGAACACATTGCTTGTGACTCATTAGTTTCTGGAAAAAAAAAAAAAAAAAACATACTGGAAATGTGACAAATCAGGAAACAAGCTGAAAGGTGTTGAGGCTGTTGATTTTCTGCCTGTCAAACAGCTGATGTGCCTACCTGTCAGTCAAACTGGCTACACCCAAATTAAGTCTAAATATGTCTAACTATAAGCTTTAGTCTGTATCCAATATAAAGAATGTATAAAGAACAACACACTGCTTTAATCAGCACTTCAGCATTAGCCTCTTTTATTCTGAAATTACACGACTTCTGTACAGTGATAAACGTTGCCTCGGTGAACGAAAACGTGAAGATGATATTTCATTTGTGTGTTTTGGTCATAGACTCAGTGGTGGTCTTACCATTAGGCAACACTAGGCGGTGTCCTAGGGCCCCTAAAACTCCTCATACACTTATGCAGTGTTAAGGGTAACGCGTTACAAAGTAACGGAATTACATAACGATATTACTTTTTTGGGGTAACGAAGTAATGTAGTAACTACACTACTTTACTAGACCAGAGGAACGCGATTTCCTGCGTCACCCAAGCTCTGTTTGCCAATGTGAATAGTTTTGGTGCCTGCACGCGGACGCGCTGCCTGCCTGTGTGTGTGACGCCAGAGCGTTGCCATAGTGATAGAGTTGCGTGGTGCGCGCCTGCGCGGGAAGAGGGAAAATGGCGACGGACACGGAGAATGAGAGCGGCTTTGCTAAGTGGCGAAACTGGCGATATAGTCACTATTTTGAATTTGTTGCTCGTAAGGACAGAAATATAAGAGTAAAATGCACCATATGTCCCGGCGACAGACAGCTTTCAACTTCTGCAAAGTCTATGAGCAATCTCGCCAAACATTTGACTACCGTTCATGCCAGTACAAAACAAAACTTTTGCTCTCCGGCGAACGGAGGGAGTTGATCAGCAGCCGACCCCTCTAAACAAGCCAAGCTTTTCTCAACCATCGGAGCACAGAAGCAGGTAAACACATCAAGAAATAACAAGACTGGCTGCAGGGTTCATCGTAGAAGAAATGCTTCCAATGTCCACAATAGAATCTCCCAGGTTTAGGAAGATCATTAAATTAATAATTTATGAGGCACTGTTCTTTCATATGGTGTTATATGTATGATGTATTTTGTATACAATAAACACAAAGTTATGGCGCCATGACGTTTGTGCATTTATCTGAACGGTAGATTAAAAAAACAGGAAAGTAAAGTAATAAGTAGTGAAGTTACTTTTCAAATGAAGTAATGAGTAAAGTAATTTCATTACAATTTTCATTACATGGAGCGAGAGAGAAAAAAGAGTGAAATAAGATAGAACAAGCAATAGCTGACAATTCCATACAATTTGCAATTATCACTAAGTTGTTGAAAAGTAAAGGTAAAGTACTCCTAAAAAAGGGACCAAAGCTCTCAGACTTGGGGCATTTTCTCACTATATAGCCATAATAACAAAAGATCTCCAAATTGCCATTTGTAGCCTTAGTTGGTTACAAAGTTTGTAACTTAGAGAAGTCCTTAATCTGCATTAAAATGATCCCCGTCCATGTTATAGCTGTGAGTTACTATTGCTTCAATGTGTGTTATTATTTACTAATGTTTAAGGTTGAGCTAATTTTAAAGAAATGTATGTACTGTTAGGTAGTTAAAGTAACTGTCATATTTGAGGCATCAGTCTCACATCTCATCTCTCCTGTGAGATTTAGAGACTTAAAGACAGTTCAGTTATTTTTTGTACTAGAGATTTTTTTCCCTGGAAAAAAGGGCAAATAAATAACAACAAATACCAAAAAGAAAAAACAAACATCAGCCATCAGCCAAAACATCGGTATCGATGCATCACTAGAATAAAAGGATGAGGACGGCCCCATGCCTGGATTTGCCTAGGGCCCACAAATTCCTAAGTCCACCCCCGCATAGACTGCATATACTATGGACAATTTGATTCTGTTTTCCGCCAGAATACGGATTTGAAGTCAAAAAGCTCTCAGTACTTTGTTTTTTTTTTCTCCACTTCCTGAAACTGACATTGTGCTGTAGCGTTGTACGCATTCAGTAGGATAGTCCCCGAAAGTCGCTGTGATGACGCTCGGCTAAAACAGCATATCCCCTGGGTAAGCTTTGCAATCTCCGTTTGCCCAAAGGTTAAAGTGTCAATTCAGTGTAATTAATTTCTAAAGTTTGTCCACAGCTCCATAAGCTTTGCTGGATGAGGTGGAATTTATGACCTATACTGCAGCCCGTCACCAGAGGGTGCTGTTCTTGCAGTGGCTTCACCCAGCGAGGAGGCAGACTGTGTACATGTTATATACAGTCACTGGTTTTGGAGCCTGATAACTCCTAAACTCATCATCCACCTCAGAAAAGAAAAAGAAAGTTAGTTTTCCTTTTTTAACTTTTACTACTTTTACAAGACTTAATCATCAACAGATACAGGACATATTATTCACAGACATCGTCAAAGAAAGAAAAATAGTTTTACTCTTTTCATATACATCCCGCATATTGATGAATAAATATTATGTAAAGACATCTGACTGTACAATCAGGAACATTCATCATAACAGAGATACATTCATTGGAGTATGGAGGCCGTGTGTTCAGCTGGTCTCCAGTAGAGGCTGCTTTATATGTCTTTAACCATCTGAGTTAATGGCGTTGATTGTTGAGCATTACAAAGCATCTATTTACAAGTTAAAGCAGCAAAACATCATCAATTAAAATATGATCCCTCTGTCCAAGAACATACATTAGACACTTAATAAAACTCAATACAGTTGTTTTTGTCCGTCTGTTGCATTGTTTTGCACATGTAAAGTAATGGCTTGTAAAGTTAGGATGTGGGGTTTCGTGAAGGTTGGCACACTTAAGCACAGCTTGATGTTTCAGCAGTTGTACCTTCATGCACTGCAGCGTGACACAGGAAAACAGCCAAGCAAAGTCGACATGTCCTATAAATGAGCAAGATGAGTGAATAATTAAGGGCGTAATTGTGTGTTTTTGATTTGGACCAATGAACGGGGATAAAATGTAAATGTCTTTTTACTAAGTACATTGGATGAAATTTCACAGGTTTGTAATTTTTTCATATTTGACCAAAGTTCTCTATGTGGCTATGCGTAACATCTATTCAAATAAGATGTATGGCAGAATGGGAAAGGTCCTGTGAGGAGTTTTTTGACATTTCAAAGATAGAAGAGAATTTCTTGTTGATGCCTTTTTATGATGAATTAAAGCAAACAAGACTGACGGTTTTCATACCGTCATTTTTAAAGCTTGAAATTGGTACAAGAAGTTCAATGTAATGGGACCACAACAGAAAAGCCCTTTTTACATTTTACACATTAAATACCCCCAAAAATTGACACACTTGACTGTCCACAGGGGTCGCCAAAATGAACACAAACTCCTTTTACATATTTTGTATGATTAGATTTAAGCACATTCTGCGACGAAAGAGAAAGTCCTGTTTTTCAGACATTCATGAACCTGAGTGGGCTGAAATCAACAATGCTGTAATGGTGCACAAGGCACTGGACTGTGAAAACTGAGGCATCCGTGACCGCCGTTATGTTCATTTGCACAATACCAATTAGCTCATTTGGTCTGTATTGCAAACTGTCTATGTGAACGCTAAACATTTTGGTTTACTTCTGAAACTTTTCAAAAACATTCAGTATTTTTTCAACTTGATTAATTTAGATCCACTTAAAAAAATTAAAGGAACAGTGACGTATAATTTCTAAATATTTGCATTCTCATACATGTCTCACCAACCCAACTCCAACTGGTCCTTTTTGGCAGCATCAATAAAGCATGGACTTACGTCTCCAAGATACAGGGCATTGAGCATTTGACAACAGTTACGCAGTACTTTAACAACCTCACACTCTCCAAAACCATGGGAACATACACTTTTTACCACCATGCACTCTCACACACACACACACACACACACACACACACACACACACACACACACACACATAAAACATATCAAACTCACTCATGCAGACTCACACACATACTGCCCCTCTGCTTCTCTCTAAAAGAGTACAGAGAAGTGCCACAAGCTCTACAGTGCTTTCTTTGTCATCCAGAATACAGTATAAGGCAAGTGTTCACGACTTAGATTTTAACGAATATGCGTGTGTGTGCGTGTTTACGAGCGTGAGCAGCCCTGTTTTCCTGATTTTTTTAAAACGTTTTTTTAGTCGTTTTGGTCAACAACACCGTCTCAGGAGGCTTGTGTGTGTGTTTTTTCATTAATGGTCGCTCTTATCTGAGGTTGAACGGTGAATGGCACTTCCTGAAATAATCCAACAAGAAATTTGTGAGATAAAAACACAAAGTTCTTTCGATGCATGTTGTTGACAGAGAGTAAGGAGACTTTTGCACAGGTACTCGGAGAGAAGCGCTCTCACGTTCGTGTCACACGCGTGGAACAGCTTGTTGCGCATCACGTTCTGCTGTTTTCACAGTCAAATGTTCAGAAGCTCACCGTGGACTCCGTCCATCCACTCAGGCCGTCTCCCTTCACAGTGCTGGCTGTGCGTCCTCGTGGAGGTTGTCCATCGGTGAGGCCGAAGAGACGCGCAGCTGCGCCCCTGTATTTCCAGGACATGGTGTTGTAGAGGATGGGGTTGATGGCGGCACTCAGGTAGAAGAGAACCACGGACACAAAGCTGCAGTACTCGGACAACACGCTCAGTAGAGGTGACGGGGCGTCCAGAGAGCGGAACTGCAGGTAGCGTCCCACGTGGAATGGCAACCAGCAGAGGACAAAGGCCAGAACCACCACCACTAAAGGAGGAAGATGAAGAGATGGAGAGAGGTAGAGAGAGAGAGGAAGTTTAGACTTTAAAAAGCATTGAAAGACAGATGTTTATTCCTGTTATTTTCACAGATGCGTGTGCGTAATTTACGCACTCTCCAAACTCACCCAGCATCTTGATGGTCTGTCTGTTGCTCTTATCTCGGTGAGCCACTCGCGAGTTGATGTTCGTCTCTCTGTGTCTCTGCCACAACCTGCGACCTATCAGACTGTAGAGCACAGTGAGGCAGAACACCGGCATGAAGAAGAAAACCGAGCTCAACCACACCATGGCTCCCATCAGGCCTGACTCCACTGCGTAATGCGTCATCTTACACTCCCGAGTGTCCTCGTCCTCCAGGGGGAACTCAGTCTCATTCATCCCTGAACTGTAATTTGGTGGGAGCATACTGTCTCGTTCCACTCCCACCATGACAAACACAGGCCCCGCACTCACAAGAGACACTGTCCAGAGGAGGAGAATGAGTCCACGTACGCGCCTTTTAGTCACCACGGCCTTTGCGCGCAGAGGGAAACAGATGGCCAGGTAGCGCTCTACAGACAGCGCGGTTATGCTGAGGATGGTTGAGTAGGTGCATGACTCTGACACAAACTGGAAAAGCTTGCAGAGCGCGTCTCCAAAACGCCAGGGTCTGTATCTCCACATCCGGTACAGGTCCAGAGGCATGCAGAGAAAGATGAGCAGGTCTGACACGGCCATGCTGCACAGGTACAGATTGGTGGTTGTCCGCATGTCCCGGTACTTACTCACTACCAAAATAGTCATGACATTCCCAGCAACCCCGACCAGGAAGAGCAGCGTGCAGGCGACGGTGATGGCTGTGAGGAGAGGGATGGAGTAGTAGTTAAGAGGGGGAAAGCCGAGGTCTTCGTCCGCTGTGGCGTTGTGGGTCTCCTCCCAGGTACAGTTACGGGAGAGGCACTGCGACTGATTGGACCAGGGGGGCATGCTTATGGTGCGCGGTTATTAACGGGGCCGTACCTGGCCCTGGCTGCCAGAGACATTCTGGATCTGGGACTCCTTAAGCCCTCTGGCTCTTTTATTTACTCCCATCATCAATGTTTTGCTTGTAGAGTAAACGTCAAATGCTGACCAGCTGCGCGTAAAACCAAATCTGCGCGCGTCACAGGTCCTGCAGGAAAGTGAAGGGGACAAAAATACACTCCAAAACACCCACTTCTCCTTAAGGTGTGGATATGCTGGTAATAAAACAATCTGCGAGGGATGAGAAACGGCAAACATCACATGGTGAAAGTCATGCGGAGGTGTATTCCATTCAGAATAAATGCTGCAGGACAGAAAAATCTCATTACATAGTTATCTATGAGTTCAAAGAGAAAATCTGACTTGCATATGAAAAAAAAAATCTCCGGGATATTTTCTCTCTACACGGATGAATTTTCTTTGGATGTAAGCGTCCACGAGAGTCCCTCACGTGTCAAGCAGTCCTGAACAGCTCCCAGGAGCAGCAGCAGCAGCAGCGCTCTCCAAACCTTATCAGTTGATCTGTTGACAACTTGCACCGTGCAGCATGCAGGGGTGAGTCAGAGGCAGGGTCATAATGACGCTGTAGCAGCAGCAGCAGAATGAACGTCCATCCTGGGTAGAGGAACCGCAGCTCAAACTCGACCAAACACAAACGGATTCACTACAACCACAGTGAAAACAAAAACCGTGTGACGGAGCGGAGACAGTTTGATAAAAGTCACAAGTACCACGAAGTAACGGTGTGGTGTCCACATAGTCGTGAAAGTGGGAGCTTAATGAAAACAAACTGAATATAGTTGTTACATCCAAGACCTGCTCCTGTAGTGCTGACGATATTGGCTCTGTGGATCCAGACTCTCTGTGCGCAAAACATCATGAGCCCACAGGTGAAATACTGCCTCAGAGGAGGCTGGTGAGGGGGTCCGCAGTGGGTACAGTAATGTAACGCCACCTACAGGGGAATTTGTGGCAATGATGGCTGGTGGTTCATACTGGGCAGTTTTGGGGGGATCTAAAAGGGGAAAAGAGAGTCCCCTTCCTTGACTGAGACCAAAAACATAGACCTGCTGCAAGAGGTGTGCTTCAAAGCTGACTCTAAACAATTCCTTTAAAGTGGTCAACTTCTGTATGTTCGTAAATGATCTGATTTGGCTGTTCTGCCTTGAAATAAAACACGACTGTCAAATTCAAGTTCAAATCCACAATTAATAAAAAAGCATTTGGGCTTTTAAGTCAAGGCTCCTTTTTTTCTGAAGAGCAAGCATTACGATTTTCATCATGTGGTGAGTTTAAAAAAAGTGTTTCATAATGTGCTCAATCAAGCAAATCACAATTTTCAGAGCTATGATTTTAAGGAACTTGAAGTTGAGATCTAAAAACAAAAAGGAAATCTTATACAACACTGAAGGCTGTGGAAACTTGATGCTGAGGAGACCAAATATTAGAGCAGAGTCACCTTAGAGCCACATGTGGAGTAGGGGAGAGTGGGGTAAGATGAGCCATTTTTCATATTTCGGATCACTACATGAAGACAATCATAGTTGTGTCTCTAGCTAGTGTATCTGCATATATTTCAAGATGTTGTTTATCCCTGCAAACCAGCAGAATGAGTGTAAACATAATTGTCTTGATGATATAGCATGCAAAAAAAGTGGTCTCCTATGGTCAACTTACCCCAGTTGACCATAGGTTGAGTAAGTTGAGCCGTATCCCTACTACCTCCCCACTCTTCACCCCAGCCCTCCCTCACCTTCTCTCTCCCGAAATAACAGTCTCTTATTCACATTCATGTGTATTTTCATCTATTATACGTTATTCAATCAGTACAATAATTCTTTTTATTATTATTGTTGCATATAACTGCTAAAAAGATGTTTTGTAAAAAGCCATTTTAACATGAGAATGTCTTTAAGTGATTCAGAACAAAACTTATGACAGACTAAATTCACTTTCAAGATTGAAAAATGTTTTTTTTTTTTTGTAAATAAATGTCTAACCCCTTCCCCCATGTGCATCTAATCTTCACAGACTCCACGAACTGATGCCCAGCTCCTAAATATTTGGTCACATGATCAATTTCTTTTACCATTTCCAAGCAGCAGAAGGTGGCTTAACTTACTCTTCGGCTCAACTTACCCCACTCTCCCTTATTTAGTTACTGTCTAAAGCCAGTAAGTCGTCATTCTTTAGCAGAGAAAATATGATTAACAAAACAGGATTATAAATATAACTTTAATGTAGGTCTAGGGTTACAAAGAAAACAAATTATCGTTATTAAATTTGTTACCGAGTCTAATTTAAGGTGTCAAAGAAGAACTTTATGTGAAGTTGTGTTTAGTTTTATTACTTGTGTCCTTCCTAGGGCGTTTTCCAAGACGAACAGATAATTATCAATGATATAACTTCTGCTATCTCTGCAATGTCAAACTGAGAGCATTTAACTTGTCGACTTATAAAAACCAACAGGCGCTTCATCTTTATTTTTATGCTTTTGGCAGCTCACCAGAAGTCTTAACATCAGCATGAATCTGAGTAGTTGGATTTGCATTGTTATTCCACTTTGATTGTGCCGGTGTGATTCTTATTCTGAAATCTTTTTATCTCTTTGCCCTTTGCTCCGTGTTTACCGGGAGACTCCATTAGGTTTATGACCCAAGGATCATGATGAGGGAGAGGGAGAGAAAGAAAGACAGAGATTAAAACAACAGTAAGACAGAGTGAGAGAGATACTGAGGGTGGGAAGATCACGAACAGGACGGCTGTGTCTCTTAAAACCTTTTCCATATATCTGGTATGTATCTGTTTGCTTATGTGGCGTGTGTTTGTCTCCATACATTATTGTATTTTGAGCCATTTTTTTTAATCTTAGAGGAAACCTGAACCTACAAATATCTCATATTTATATTGTGTAACTTACTTTTTTCTCTTGGCCTTGATTTTCAAACACCTGTGGTAATAATAACAGAAACACAAAGATGAAAACATCTATTTAAGCAGAGAGAAGCTCAAACAAGACTCTGCTGCAGCAACAGTGAGAGATATTTGAGAGGAAATTGGGTATCATCAGTGTTCAGTGTTTGCAGAGATTAAGCCGATTTGTTGTGTATCTAGTTTCCTACAGTTTCCAGTAGCTTTCTCACTTTTCGTGTGCATGTGGAGCTGTGGAGTATGTGGTACAAGAGCGGATTGTTGATGAGTGTTTTGGTGTCATTTTGTCTGCACTGTGCTCACAGGGTGTGGCGGTAGAGTGCTGGGTAAAGTCCAAGAATATGCTCACATATTCCTCTCCAGCTCATTGTTGAAGTGTTTGTGTGTAAGTAGGGTAATACACCCAGTTCACCACAGGGCGGCGGTAGAGTTCTATTTTGAGTTGGATTCAAACCTGTTGATTTACATTAGTGTGTGTTTCTTAAAGTAGTGAATGGTTCTATAGATACAAGTGTGTGATGATGTTTAACTTGATTGAAAATACTATAAAGTGTAAACACAGCAGGTTAAAATGAACACAGTCAAACAACTGAATCAAACTGCTATGTGGAGTTTTCTGTCCTTTTATGTTTTATCTGATTATAAGCAAAGCTACGGTGGCTGAGAACTGCCAATGCTGCTGCAAAAAAAAAAAAGTCACAATGGAATTTACCAATGCAAAAAATATAAAGGAAAGGAACTGAAGCCCACTGCAAATAAAGAAAGAAATGGTGCAAATTAAAAAAAAAAAGCTGCAATGGAAGTTAACTCATCTTAACTCAACTTTTATTTGTAAAGCACTTTAAAATAACCACTGCTGAACAAAGTGCTGTACAAAACAACGCAGACATAAAAACAATCAAAAAACAATTGAAACAATGGATAAAATAAAAGAATTAAAAAGTAAAATATAGTTTCAACGTTTCTAAAAACTTATTTAAAAACATAGAAACAAATAACTAAAAAAAAAAACGGGAGCTGAGTCTCATGCAGGGTTAAAAGCCAATGACTAAAAATCTTTTTTTGCATTTTTTTTTTAATTATTATTTTTTTTTTTTTTGCAGCAGTGGCAGTTCTCGGCCATCCTACATATCTGTTTATTTTCAACTTTTAAGCTGAAGTCTTCAACTGTTTTCTTGTCAATGCAGACTCCATAAAAACACAGACATGTAAAAGTGAGTGGAAGCAAAGAAACCCATCAAAGCTCCACGGAGAGAAAACAACAGGAGAAAGTGTGAAATGATGAGATAATGGGCAGGACCAGTGTCAGTATTTCTCCCTTGAGGACTCCTCCTACTCCACTAGAGCCCCAGAATCTTACATCCATCCAATGAGCACACCATGTGGGAGGAACCTGCTCCTCTGATTGGTTTAGAGTTTAACAGACCCCTCCCTCCCTCTCTGAGGAGTTGGAGTGTGAGTTCCCTGTTAGTTTTTTTCTCAGCCACTCTTACTGAGTTACAGAGCAGCAGGAGGACTTGGCTGTGCGCTGCTGTTTGCTTGGATACTTCTCTGCTCGCTGAGGTGTGAGTGTGAGTGTGTGCTAGTATTGTACTCCATTCAGTCCCAGCATTGAAGGTGGATCGATGAGACTGAGCAACATGTGGGCTGCACGTCCACAAAAAGAGCAGGTTGGTCATGTCTCCCTCTCTCCCCTTTCTTTCTCTCTCTATCTGTCTCCATGTCTGCTCTGGTCTATTTGTGTCCAAGGACTGGGGGAGATATGTGTCTGTGACACTCCTCGAGATCATGTAGAAGAATGTGCAGTATGTTTGACTCTGACAGGATGATGATGCTTCTTTCTTCCTCAAATATGCATGCTTCAGTGCAGTTGTCGTTGCTGTTTCTGTGTGTGGTGGTAGTGGAAAGAATTGTGTTTTTGTAAAAGATCTTTGGTGCACAAGTTGAGATTTTTCTCCTTTTTTTATCAATGAAAAGCAGCAACAAGTTGTGCTTTAGTTCACAAGTGTGAGTGTGTGTACTGTCCCTTTGCCCCGGTTCTCACACTCCTTTGTGAAAGTTAGTCCCTGCAGATGGAATGTCATGCAAAGCCTGGAGATATTTTGCTTCTCTTTCTGCTGCTGCTGGCTCGTTCAGACCCCTCCCCTTCACACACTCCCCCTCCTCTCCTCTCTCTTCTTCTGTTGTCTTTGCAGCTGATACACATGGCTCTGACCTCTGGCATTCAGTAGTCTTCCTCATGCACAGGCTATGACCTCAGTATGATAAACTCCTCTACCAAGACTCCAGCTCAGGAGTCTGTTTAGGTCTCTATCATGTGTTGATATGCTTCCCAGTTTGTAATCAATCATTAATCTGAACAGAGAGAGAAGTTGAAGTTCAAGTCTGCAAACATTTCCTCTTCTCAAGTTATGTAACACAAGTTTTACCCCATTGCTGTTCAAGTTTATCGTCTTTTAAGGCAAAATCTGAAGGATCTGGAACTTCAAATTTGTTCCAGATGTGGGCTTCTGTTTCATATGCCGGCTCAAGTATGTTGAAAACCCACAAACCATGTTATAAGTCTCCAAAGATGATCAACCAGGAGTGATCCAAACTTTATTTTTAGCATTGTGCAACAGATGTTTGCCTCTGAAATTACTGATCTGCACCATAACACCGTTCATAGCCAGTCTTGGAGTGAAAATCCTCATCAGAGGCAAACTTTCCCACAAGTTTTTCAGTAACAGCTCCACAGGTAACAGGTTCAAATTGAGTTTAGCGACAAAAATGTGTTGTTTTCCTGCTGAACTCAAACAACACGGCTCTCTTGTAGACTGAGGACCATAAAAGCGGCAAAAATAGAAGAGTTTTATTTACATGGTGAAGAATGTCACTGTGCCATTTGGCGCTCAGACTGTCGTTCACACTTTCTTTCCGTGTGTATCAAAACTGTCTATTTTTGAATCAGTGCCGGTTATTGTGTTCAGGTCTCACTTAAAAGATTTCTCATCTTTTGAAGTGCATCACTGGTGGAACCAAGATTTTTTCAAGGCGATTAAAGTCCGAACTAAATAACTATAATAAAGTCAAGAAAACATTTGGAAAATTGTCGAAATTGATTAGAAAAATGGCTAAATTTGGATCACAGAGTCTACAAAGTCAAAGCAGTTTGCAGAATGTGGCTAACACTAGCAGACCAAGAAAGTTAAGGTCCTTACACACCAGGCGCGAATTCGCCAGGCGAATTATTTGCCTTTTTTAAAAACAGCATAAAGTCAATGCAAGCTTCCACACTGGCTGTGATTTTTCCGCGGGCCGAAAAGCATCTTTTATTTTTTCGCTCATGTGTCGAATTTTTCAGAGATTCGCAGGCGAATATCTGGACCTGCTAGACCTCTGGCCAATCAAAAGTCAAGTTGTTGATGACGTCACAGACTAGTGCTGGACGATAATTCGATAACAATATATATCGATCGATAGACGTGTGCTGCGATAGAAAAAAAACGGGTCGATAAAAAGTTCGATAGAAAAACACAGTTTCCCTTTCTTTTTCATCATAGCCTATCATGTAGCTTTTACTACAGTCATTACTTCCTCCCAACCAATCACAAACGCAGACCCTGGTACGCTACGGCACCAAGCCCAGCCCCTATCAAACCACAACAGACAGCACGTGTATTAGAAAAAATGATACAGCAAGGAGAGGCGGAGGACATTGTCAGTAGTTCACCAGCATGGCAATGTTTTGGTTTTTAGAAGTATGACAAAAAGCGAACAGCGGTCGTTTGCAAAATTTGCAGAGAATTAGTAAAAACCAAGTCTGGTAACACAACCAACTTGTTTTACCATCTAAACCGGTCGCACCCGCAGGAGTACGAGCTGTGTCGGCCGCGCCGCGGCTCCACGTCGTCGGAGGAGGAATCCTCTGGAACCGCTGCCAGCACCAGCACAAAGCAAGTGAAGCAGACCAAACTGGACTTCGTTTCTTGCCAAAATACGACAAAGCGTCCGAGCGGCATAAGGACATCACTCATGCAGTAACATGCTGCATAGCGAGGGACATACTGCCAATAACTACCGTTGAAAAGCCTGGCTTCGACCAGCTTCTAGCCACTCTCGACCCGCGATATGAAGTGCCCGGCCGCAAGTATTTCTCAAACACAGCGCTTCAGGCATGAAAATGGGTCAGGGGTTGAAAAGGTGAGAAGAATGCATCCCGTCCACTCATTAGCTTCTTAAAGTGGAAGAAAATGAGCTCATATTTTACAAAGACGCGAGTATTTGGATCATGGCTACTAGCAGGGGGTGCATTCGGCAGGGGTGCATTCTACGACACAACACCGGCGTGGATAAGTCCTGCTTCTCGTGCTCAGTTTGCGTATCAAGTCAATCACATGATGATTAAAAATAAATAAATCTCCCGACCCCGGGAGAAATGTTTCAATGTTCAGACACCAGGCTGTGGGCAGTTTCTCACACAGTTAAAACTGGTAGTATGTTATTCCCACCTAAAGCTATTCTGTTTATTCATATATTTGTTTGTTTTGTTTATTTTCATCAAAAGACTATTTAAATATTTATTTATCAGATTTTCTGGTCACTTTAGTCTATATGTTTGTCAGTATTTACTGACGTCACTCAGGCCCCTTAAGTTGATTTCTTTTTTTTTTTTGTTCTTTTTTAAAAAACTTTCAGTTGTGGTAAAATAAAAAAGGTGGTTGAATAAAGGTTTGAATTTGAATTCAGTGCTTCTGTGTTCTTTATTAAAAGTAGGTCATTAAGCAATAGCATAAAACATCAAGGGCTGCAATTAAAATATATGTTAAATAATTATAATAATTATATCGATAATTATCGATATCGATCAATATGATTTATTTTTTATCGATATGCTTTTTTTCTATATCGTCCAGGCCTATCACAGACCCATGCGGCTGCAGTTCACACGACACACACCACCACTGGCACCAGGAGCAACGATGGGAGAGAGTTTGTACCACAGAGTGGTCGCCTGGTGTATAAGCGAAAGCGATTTTTCTGACCGGCGAATATTTTCGCACTTTTGTCTCGCTTTTTCGCTTCGCTTCGCAAATTCGCTGGTGTGTAAGGACCTTTAGGCTTCAGTTTTTATGCATGTCTACTCCAGCTGAGAGGTTATCTACCAGCCAACCAAACATAACTAGATTAAAAGACTGAAGATGAGACACAACATTTGACCATATTTTAGGCCTACAGTTTTAAAATAGTTTTTAGTCTATTGGTCAAATTTTTTTGGAGCTGAAATTTTTGTTTCACTTACTACTGAAAACCAAAAAAATCCTTAAAGTTTCACAAACATATTTATTTATCTAGTTTGATACTTTAGATGTTTCTGGAAACTGATAAACTACAACAGGACATTTTTATTATTTATTGGACTGTATTCAGGTTTTTTTTTTAGATATTTGTTGATCATATTGATTTGAGAGAAGTATAGAAAAGTATGTATCAAATATGATACAAAAGGCATTAAAGGGTTAATAATTTACCGACTCGTGATGGTGAAGACATCCTTTGGTATTAATAGAGTTTAATTGTTTTTCTGCCGTGAAGCTGAAAAGAAGAATTCTGAAGTTTTCAACTACTTTCCGCTTATGTTTCTTTTGGATGATCTCTTTAGATAAACGTCAGAGCACACTATCAACAGGTTATGTGGAGACTTTTGTTTTTAAAGGTCACAGTAAAAGAGCTGCTCCAGTGAAACCGCTTCACAGTCTGGCCTTTAGTTTAAATGGTACAAAATTAAATCTCGCACAGACAGAAATCTTTCTCAGTCCAGTTTAAGATCATTATTTTTGGTGTTTCCGCCGTTAAATATCCCCTTTACTTTCTGGTTCACTTTCCCAAATCATGGCGAGTAGGTGTGTCTCATGATTGGTCTGTGCAAAAGTTATGGTTTGGTAATTTCCAGGCTGTGACTTGGTGGCCTTGGTAGTCCTGAGTCAGGCTTGGCTGCATGACAGAAAGAGAGAGAGAGAGAGCAGTTCCATCGCTCCGCAGTACAATGATGTCTTGTTTGACGGCCAGCAGTACGCCACTCTGGCGATGATGACGACTTCTCCCTCTCCTTTTCTGGCATCTACTGTATGTCTTGCTTTCTCTGCCTATGTGACCATCGCGATCCCCCTCACCATGGTGCGAAGGATTAGATAATAGGCAGCTTTAGTGTGGGCAGAGAGAGAGGTGTCACAGACCTCTCTTGTTGCTTCTCTCTCTCTCCATCTTCTCTCTCTCTCTCTCTCTCTCTCTCTCTCTCTCTCTCTCTCTCTCTCTCTCTCTCTCTCTCTCTCTCTCTCTCTCTCTCTCTCTCTCTCTTTGTACCATCTGCGCCATGTGGAGCTTGGCACCACACAGTCTGTAAATGCCAAGCCAGATAAATTATATCCAAACTACTGCATGTTTATGTTTGTTTGTTTGCATCCATTTGCATGAGGAGTACTATCTTATGCAGATGATGTGGGGTTGTTTGTACGTTATATTCACAGTGAACTAAAACACTCTCTCGTAGATATCAAGATTTCCATCACACATCCAGAAATCGATAATGCATGTCACTAGTTACCCATTCTCCCCTACACTGGGTAATCAGTGACAGCACCTCTGCCGGTGTTTACACAGGCTTTCAACCCGTCTCCTGTGTCCTCTGTGATTATTAGACACTTTACAAACACATATTAGGTGGAAACCTGGAGCAGGGAAACAAAGTAGGAGCATCACTCAATGTGCTGTAACTTCAGAGTTTATCAGACTGGCTCGATGCAGATATGAGGGGTGATTATTGGATGTACGTGCAGTTTCTGGCTGACACATTTAGGAGAAAAGGCAGGTTCTGATGTCTAATCTTGATGACTAACTGTTTCCCATTATGTTACACCTATTACATCAAAAAAGGACACATCCTGTATTTGCATACTTAAACAGCTGGTGTGATGTTCCTCAGTTTGCATTAAATTCTCTTGATTTTGGCGTCTTCATATAGGATTTAATTTAAAGCTCTAACTGTTTACAGGAATTGACTATATTCATGGTAGTTGAATGGAGCACAAATCATTCATATAAGGATTTTGGATGTTCTGAAGTTGATTTACTAGCTTCCAACAAATTGTCCAAACCAGGCCGTGCTACAAAGAGCTGTCTGTCATCTGTGCTTGTTTACATCCAGATAGTAGAGCGTCTTAGCAGCAGGGCAGTCATCATTCCTAGCTAGTGATGGGTGACTGTCTTATCTTAATATTTGACCACCATTTGGGACTTTAACTGATATAAATATTAACTCCTATTAACAATTTTGATGCAGAGTACTAGGGCTGGGCGCTAAACTGAGAATTTACAGATACCGAAATTTACGACGCTAACCGACGTAATTTTGCCAATGTCAATATATTCGGTGTCAAAATAAATAAATGAATAAAAGTTGTTTTGGATATGTGTAGGTAGGCTATGGTCTCATGTCCCTTTAAGATGCTGTCCTACATCAGAGACGTGACTCCACCCCATCCAGTCAGTAACAAAGAGGGAAAGACAGGTGAGGAGATGGAGGACGGTTCAAAAGTTGTAGCAGCTGAAGTAGACGAAGTTAATTTGGGAGGGGGTGAGCAGCTTGTGGAGTAGTTATCATCCATTTATTGTAATCGAGGTGAACTGCTCAATATACCGTGATATTGATTTGAGGCCATATCGCCCAGCCCTACTAAGTACCCTCAGTAAAGAGGTGAAGGTGTAAAGTTGCACATCCCTGTTATTTAAGAATATGCACAGTTAGGATTCATGGCACATTGAGGACAAAGCAACCATGTTATTGTTTCTTTTTCTCTGATATTGTCTGAATCACAATCGGTAGTTCTTTATTAATCCCCTGAGGAAATTATATTAAGCTCTGGCAATATTCACATTATCTTTGTTTTGACTCTTGGGAAAGAAATGAATTTCCCACAGATGAATAATCTGCGTCAGTAGAGCAAGATGACTTACCAGTATTTGTTTCTTAAGTGAACATAAAGCAATCACATAACCCTGAAAAAGTTGGTCATTAACCTTAACAGTTCGAGGAGTGTGAGATTAGATCCGAACTATGAGAGCAGAAAGGGAACATGAACTCTCCCGGCCCTGCATTAAGGACATTGACACTGTTTGGTTGAGGTCTCATGCAGTGAGAACGACTCATCTCCCAGCAGTTACCACAGCATGGAAACTTCCCACTTTACAGACAGCTTGTGTGTTACCATTTCACAGCCTGCTCTGTGAGAGATCATGGATGAACAGTGTGCATTCGAACCTAAGAGTGCCATCAGTGAATGTATGTTCTTAACGCATGTTTGCGCCGCTACAGAAACTATTATTGTACAACTTATTAAACCTGTTTGGCTCTTTCCTCAAAGTAGATGAATGTGTGCAAGTGACAGGGAGAGATAAATGAATTGATTTGATTCCATTATTGAATCTGGATTAACCTCATGTAACCTGCAGTGATTATTAACATTTTGGTACCAGTCTCCAGTATGCACCATTTATTATTAACTAATTCTCAATGGATATTAAAGAGAACATATCTTTGGCGGGCGGTTTGATGAGTCATTTTTGGTTTTTAATTAATCACTTAGTCTGCAGTTGAAAGAGTTGATAAGGTATTGCTAATAGAGGCCATGGGTTTGCCATTTAAAAAATACCATCAGCAAATATCACTCGGTCATTCAGGACAGAATGGGGCAGGAAGAAAACTGATGAAATGTGCATAAGTTGCTGAAAAAAAGTCAAATTCTTGCTTTTGTAATAGAATATGCCATTTGGTTTGGTGCTTTGTGAGGTTTGAATTTCTGGTCCAGCCAGAGGACAAAGTTTCCCTTCCTGCACATTCACTCATCACTGCATTTTTTCATCCAACTCACCAAAGAAGGAAACACAATGCTGGTATTTCCAAGACTGAAATCAGCCACCATGATTGCTAAATGAGATAGCTGCCTCTATGCTGACGTGGGAATAACTTGACAAGGCGAGTGATTCATGTAAGGGAGTTGTTGGCTATTTGTTGTAAAAGTGATGACAAATAAGTCCTTTTGAATTCCTCTAGTTGTTATTTATCTTGAAAAGAAAGTAGATTCAACTACTTGAATTACAGTAATG